CGAGAGAAGCACCAGTTAAACACCAAGGCCTCTCCCTAAAGAGGGGACCACAGAGGGGTGCAATCCACGTGGTCCCAACACAAATAAACTGTCATGATAATGGTGAGCGAGTGACCCCCACGCCGACAACAACACCCCAGAATGCGGCGACTGCGGGTGACTGGCTGCGGGAGCTGGTGGCAGAATAATGGGGCCACGTCGCTCGTGGAAGGGCAGGTGAACAGGCGGCAAACCCGGATTCTGCTGGACACGTGGGGCGGTAACGTCACTCATGAGTGCAATACATTGCAGCGTGGTCGGGGTTGAAGTGAGCCGCCTACAGGCCCCATCGTGCGCTGCACACTGCAAGTGAAACTGGGATGGGACTGCTGGGGAGGGTCACCCTTAAGGGTCGCCTCAGACACCAGGTGTGTAACCAGGAGTTATACGTGTCGAGCGTGTTATGCCACGAGTGTATTGCAGGTACCGACCTCCTGGAAAAGTTGGGGATCAGCGTGCAGCCACCGTGGAGGGCAGCGGGGAGCGGATTCCTTTCTTGGGACAAGAGCCGGGTTGCCCTAGCTTCGAGCCCGTGGTCGCTATCCTGGCGTCGGCCGTCACCGTCAGCATTGGTGTTCCACTGGGTTTTCCGTTTTTCTTCCAAACCTAAACTCAAAATATATTTGGTGGTGGTCAAACAGTCCAATGCAGGACCCTCCTGAAACATAATCTTTAACTGCTAAATAAAAAATTAAATTGAAAAACCCTCAAACACAGTACAATATTTTTATTTTACCAGGTGAGGCCCACTGAGCTGCATAGTTATTTTTCAGAATCGACCTGGACACAAATGATAGCTCAACTTTGTGGGTTATAATATGGAAATGTTTGCAGCAAATTCTCAAAATGCACGTTTCTAAATGTGGAGAAAAATCAATGCCACTACAGGGAGTGAAAAAAAAATGTAAACTGTAATTATAAATGCGTCAGGGTTGGAATCGAACCGACGACATTCTGCATACCATGTGAGGTAGTTGACATCTTGCCACCCTAGTACAATAATCACACACAAACACATTACAGTGAAACCTTGGATAAGCCACTTTTTTGTGAGCTGGTCGCTTCTGAAAACAAGAGCTATATAGCAGCTGAAGTGGGCTTGACCTAGTAGGATAAAAAAAAATAAACTGTAGAAATAATTAAAAGAAACAAAGTTTCAAAGTAGTGAGCCAGGTGAAGACAAATTAAACTTAAGCAGAGAATTAAAGCAAATGCAATCAGGCGAGGGCAGGAGGCAAGGCCCCGCATGGCTAGGCCCCGCGTTGTAATGTACCAACCTGGACATCGATTCCATACTCGCTGCTACTCAAGTGATATCCCTACGAGAGAGACGGAGCGAGGCTCTACCTGGGTAAACAACAACAACAACCACAACAACAACAACAACCACGATGTCAACTTCTCACCTCGGATCTCAGTGAGCGCGCGCGCGGTGCAGCAGCTTCCGGATACGTCGTGACGTCACGCGGCAGCAGGAGGTGACATGACGTCACTAGCGGGGTTCACCACAATCCCCTCCCCCAACGATCAGCGGTGTAATTGAATAAATTATGTTAATGAGCCGGGCCCACGTGGGGTGATTGGGCTTGGCTGCTGAACCCGTCGCAATAAACTCGCGACGGTAATCCTGAATCAATTATGTTAATGAACTGCCAGTCAAATTCGCGGTGGAGGGGGTGGGATTGAATATCTTGGTGACATGACGTCACGAGCGGGGAACAGCTTTCCCTGGCGTCTCACGCCGACGAGTTTGAGTGGTGACGTCACTGTGTGTGTATAAACTGTGTGTGTGTACCCTGTGCGTGTGTACACTGTGCGTGTGTACACTGTGCGTGTGTACACTGTGCGTGTGTACACTGTGCGTGTGTACACTGTGCGTGTATAAACGGTGTGTGTGTACCCTGTGCGTGTACACTGTGTGCGTGTACACTGTGTGTACAAACTGTGTGTGTGTACCCTGTGCGTGTGTACACTGTGCGTGTGTACACTGTGCGTGTGTACACTGTGTGTACAAACTGTGTGTGTGTACCCTGTGCGTGTACACTGTGTGTGTGTACACTGTGTGTGTACCCTGTGCGTGTACACTGTGTGCGTGTACACTGTGTGTATACACTGTGTGCGTGTACACTGTGAGTGTACACTGTGTGTGTGTACACTGTGTTGTGTACCCTGTGCGTGTACACTCTATGTGTGTACACTGTGTGTACAAACTGTGTGTGTGTACAAACTGTGTGGTACACTGTGTGTGTGTGTACACTGTGTGCGTGTACACTGTGTGTGTGTACACTGTGTGTGTGTACACTGTGTGTGTGTACCCTGTGCGGTACACTCTGTGTGTGTACACTGTGTGTACAAACTGTGTGTGTGTACAAACTGTGTGTGTGTACAAACTGTGTGTGTGTACACTGTGCGTGTACAAACTGTGTGTGTACAAACTGTGTGTGTGTACACTGTGTGTGTACAAACTGTGTGTGTGTACACTGTGTGTGTACAAACTGTGTGTGTGTACCCTGTGCGTGTACACTGTGTGTACAAACTGTGTGTGTGTGTACACTGTGTACAAACTGTGTGCGTGTGTGTACACTGTGTGTTGGCACAGTCGGGGGTACAGATGGTGCATCGGCCAGTCAACTGAGTCAGTCGACCCATGGCACCTGGGTCTACCCCGTGCACATAGCTTGGCACAAGCGCCATGGTGACGTGACCGCCACTTTGTGGCGAATGGCAGTTGTTGTTCTTGTACTGTGTGTGTCCGGCAAAACAAGAGATGGCACCTCAGCCAGCCATCTCATTGAGTAGCCATTACCAGATCATCAGCAGATGCAACAGGGCTGACCAGCAGGGAAACAGGTCCCTGCGGGGTGGGCTGGTAGGAACGCACAAATGAATGGCTATAATAAAATTAAATGGCGGGGTACGATACAAAGGGAGAGTTTGAGGCCTAGTTCTAGGCTTTAGGCCTAGCTGTAGGCTTTAGGCCGCTGTGAGTTAATTTTAATTTAAATGTTTAATTAAAAGCTATCTCAGGAATTATAAGGGAATGTTACACTTGTTTAGCCAGGAAAGCCTCACTGAGTCTGAAGGTTTTTGTAGGGTCCTGCCAAGTGTTTGCAGTAGGGGGCGATGTTGCTACACGTAATCGGACATCGGACGGACAAACGATATAATCTATTGTAGGCTGGTTCACTTCGTTCCTACCAGTATAATCCTTAACTATAACCAGTCATCGATAAGCATATTATTTTAACTGCAACGAATCCAATTTATTTATACGGCCATTGTGAGCTCCTCAAACTACATAATTATTGAACATGCTATGTAATGTGTAATAAACCCTGTTGAGACGTCGTGAATTGAGAATTCTTTATTTAGTTTCGTTCACAGCTTCCACCACATTCGTTCCTCCAGTTCCCTTGCTCCTTCACGCTGTTGGCTGACAGCGAGAGAGACTGCGGCGGCCCGCCACGTGGCAGGCTCCGGACCACGACACCAGCCACGTGGCTTCTCCGCTCCTTTTAATCCCTGGCCCACGTGATGCCCCGCAGCCAATCCTCAGCCACACCCCTGGAACTTTCCCGAAGCTACTGTACGGCTCCAGGGCCACGCCCCTAACTCGACTCCCCATTGGTTGCGGGCTGAGGCCGGCAGAGCCCATCATTATTATCCAGGTGTAACCTCACATTACAAATGAAATGCATTGGGCCAGAGTGAATTTCTGTCACAAGCCGAGTTGAACAGGAAATGGTTCCAACTCCTGGTCACGCAGCTTAGATGGGCCTGCCCAAAATCATAAAAATCCTCAACGAATGTGAGCAGAGGCAGAGACATCGAAATCAAGGAACCCAAAGCACCAAGCCTATTTAGGGTACCATAGGCCTGCTGTACTCGATAGACAGAAAATACAGCCGCCCCTTGAATATCGTAGGTTACGTTCTTGGAAAATGCCGCGCGACGGCTAAAACGCGATATTCAATACTTAAGCCTTACCCAAGTAATAGCGTTAGGTAAACGTCAACTAAAATTTACATCACAATAGAAATACGTACTGTATTCCAAATCAACTAAAAATTAAACAATTGAAATAAACATTGGGAAACCGTGTCTCATGCTTTTGGTTACAGGTCTACCCAACACTTATGGTCACACATGCTGTCTGCTTCTACTCGACCTTGTCTGAAAAGTCCTCCCAAAACTCCACATCCACAAATGGATGTGATTTGTCTCGGGCTTCATTAGTGACCTGGAAGTCAAACCCTAGAGCCTTCACAGGTCACCTTCACGAATGGTGACGTTTCCCAGCTGCCATCTTTATTGGGTCCTTGCATCACAAACGATGGGCTTATGGAACTTCAAATTTCACACGTCAATCTCAGACTCTGCTCCTTGTAGACCTCCTTACACGTGTTTCAGTTTCAAGACAATTCAAAAGGCCTTCCAATTGTACATTAAGTGGTTTTTAATGTGTGTTCCCTGGCAGTTGTGAAGATTTGATTACTGTGTAAATGCATTCCAAGACAGTGCAGTCGTTAGATTCCGTGGAGGCGAGTTCTGCTCTTGGTGACATCACAAGCCAGAGAGAGGGGGAGGCCCTGACGTAACCCACTCGTTAATTTGAGGTGACGTCTTCAGAGGGAGCGTCTACATATTTAGGTAAACATGTGGTAAACAAGGTGGTATATCAATGCAGACAGATATATCTAAAGTTTTATTTAAATAGAAGTTAAAATTCAATAAAACCTAGGCTAGAATACAAATCTGTAACAAAAATCCACGATGCCTTCAAATGTGCTCTTTAAAGTACCTCCTTGCGAAAAAACAGATCGGCAGACATCTTTCATTCAACGTTCTCTACACGAAACAAAGGAATGTTTTACACAAACTGTAAATACCACGGCCTTTTAGGAATGCATGTGTAATGGGTTCCGGAGACACTTGTAGAGGTATCTTCTTTATTACAACAAAACACTCCAACAGTCCTGATACTCTGTTACAGCCTAGGTACACAGCCTAGATACACTACTCTGGCTACGCTCTGGGCTCCTCCGGCTGCAATTACCCGAGGGGAGGCTAATTGACCCGACCCAGCCAAGGTGCGGGTCTGGACTCTGGCTTCCTCGGAACTCGCCCTTACAAGGACGTAGAGCCGGGAGTCCCAGAGTCCCACCACTGGCCCTCACAGCGTCCCGGCCCATACAAGGACAAGCGGGACGAGGGGGTCCAGGGTCCTAAGTTGGCTGGTCTTGGGTCTTGAGCTGCAACTGCCCCCGATCGGCCAGGGAGCTGCCCTTTTATATGCCTCGTTCCCAACGAGGGGTGGGGTTGTGTGCGCCCCCAGATATCCCACAGAGCATGCACAGCCCCTCCCCCCGTTGGTGGCGTCAAGGGGTTTAACTGTTTGGGGTGCCTGGGATCCTAGCGCCTGGCACCGAGGGCTTATCTGCCTAGGATCCGAGAGCCCCCAGCAGCCCCTCCTCTCTTATGGCACTACACATGTGTTCAGTACAAGCCACCTGTGGACTGGTTTTGGTGTACAATGTCTCAACAGTCCGGCTTGCTTCAACTGATGTTCATCGGCAAGGTCCATTTCAAGTCTCAGTTCGACAAAATGTATACGTAATACAAAATGATAATTAGTGTTCTTGTGGAGAATGTATCTCCTATACGTAACTTATAAGTGGCATACCTTAACTGATGAATGATCCGACTATGCTCCCGATTTCAAAGACAATGAGTTGCCCCAGTCAGATGCGGCCTGATTCACAAAAACACCCTTTGACCCGTATCACAAAAATAACAGCTCTCACGTGAGCTTTTGTACAGGTTACCACCAAAACAGATACTTTGTCCTGACAGCACATATTCCATGTTTGACATTAATACACAAAATGTTGTATGTACGTACAAAATCTGACGGGTATTCTTTCAATTATGATTCAAAATAATCAAAGGGCACATTGGTAACATTTTATAACTATACTGAAATGTACTGCGTCACGTTGCAACGTATTTACAAGTTGATCTCTGCCGAGATGAGGCCTATATGTGCAGCACTCTCATAGAGGGAAGTCAAGTAGTAGTACATTCTCTATGTTGCAAAGGTTCAAGGTTCAAATCCGACTGGCATATCAAACATCTCCCCCAACTTACAAACTCATATCCACATGCAGGCCAGTGAACGGTCACCTTGTGGCACACAGGGGCAGATGCCCATTATGGGCACCCATCGAGTGTCTAAGATGAGATATGATACAAAACACTTGAGTCACTCCTGGTTAGAGATCGCCCCAACCCACAGGTTCACAAATACTGGCCACGCTTACACTCCAGTTTGAACCTAGAAATTGAGTGTTCAACTTCACATTATATTCATTAGAAAGGCCTGTGACAAAGGTGCATCCATTGGAGCTTAATCGTCTGAAGCTTGCACATCTACCTGGTCTCCATTTGACTTTGTATTGTCTAAGAAGTCCACCCACACCTCCACATCCACAAACTCCTGGGAGTTGCCTCGCTCTGCCTCACAGTCAGAATTTATTTCCTGTTTCACACTGCCTCCATCTAGGTGAAGGTCCGATTTTGGAGTTGAATAATCTTCAAATTTAACCTTCACTTCTACGCTCGTCACTGTTACTTCTTCACATTTCACTTTCGCCTCTTCATATTTCACCTTGATACCTTTCAAAGTGTCCAGGCTGCGATTGTCTTCTGGTTCTTGTTTCATGAACAATGGGGTCATTGCAGCACATTGACTTTCACAAGCTGATTTCAGATTACACTTCTTGTGGATTTTCTGATGCGTGCGTGTTCTCTGGTGTTTTTTAAGATTTGATGAATGTGCAAACACTTTCCCACAAACACTGCACTTGAAGAGTTTCTCTCCTGTGTGTGTTTTCTGGTGTCGTCGAAGAGCAGATGAATCTGAAAACGCCTTCTCACACACACTGCACTTGAAGGGTTTATCTCCTGTGTGTATTCTCTGGTGGGTCTGAAGAGTGGATGACTTTGCAAACGCCTTCCCACACAGAGTGCACTTAAAAGGTTTCTCTCCTGTGTGTGTTTTCTGGTGGGTCTTAAGATTTGATGACATTGCAAACGCCTTCCCACACAGAGTGCACTTAAAAGGTTTCTCTCCTGTGTGTGTTCTCTGGTGTTGTTTAAGAGTAGATGAATAAAAAAATGCCTTCCCACACACACTGCACTTGAAGGGGTTATCTCCTGTGTGTGTTCGCTGGTGTCTTTGAAGATGTGATGACTGTGCAAACGCCTTCCCACACACAATGCACTTGAAATGTTTCTCTCCTGTGTGTGTTCTCTGGTGTCTTTGAAGATGTGGTGACTGTGCAAACGCCTTCTCACACACAGTGCACTTGAAAGGTTTCTTTCCTGTGTGTGTTCTCTGGTGTTGTTTAAGAGTAGATGAATAAAAAAATGCCTTCCCACACACACTGCACTTGAAGGGCTTATCTCCTGTGTGTGTTCTCTGGTGGGTCTTAAGATTTGATGACATTGCAAACGCCTTCCCACACAGAGTGCACTTAAAAGGTTTCTCTCCTGTGTGTGTTCTCTGGTGGATCTTAAGATTTGATGACAATGCAAACGCCTTCCCACACAGAGTGCACTTGAAAGGTTTATCTCCTGTGTGTGTTCTCTGGTGTTGTTTAAGAGTAGATGAATACAAAAATGCCTTCCCACACACACTGCACTTGAAGGGTTTATCTCCTGTGTGTGTTCTCTGGTGGGTCTGAAGATATGATGACAATGAAAATGCCTTCTCACACACAGTGCACTTGAAGGGTTTCTCTCCTGTGTGTGTTCTCTGGTGCTGTGTCAAGTTTCCAGTACGATCCGTGCTGTTTGCATGCTGGTCGCATTGTTTCCTTCTTGTACTGAACTGCGCTGAGTGCCTTTGCTCCATCAGGCCAATTCTGCAGAGAGAGCGTCAGCTGCAAACAGAAAAGCATGTCCACACCATCTATGTGAGTATTGAGGCACAGAGGAATGCATATATACACAGTCACACATGACTTACACATCTATACATATTCATATTTTCATGATATAGTGAAAGAGATTCCCCAATTCATCACACGGGCTGTTAAGGCACACAATGCGAGGGCAAATGGTCATAAATATGCCTGGACACCCTAGTGTCTTCAAAATTAATGTTTACCAAAAACTCCAAGCACACAATTTCGGTTGTCTAGCTACGACAGGAATATTTAAGAAAAAATGTGTTAACCTAGCAAAGGCTTTTGAAAATAATACTATTTGTATTATGCAGAAATTTATAAATTATTGTTCATTTGCAACTTAGAGGTGTGAAGCCAGGCTCAGATTAACTTGAATGCGAGGATGAACAGATTTAACTTCAGCTGCATATGTGCTGTTAATTTCCTGACTGTTTCCATTCTTATGAAAATTTCCAAAGCAAAACTAAAATAAACTATATTTATGATTTAACCTCCATGTTCAATCGAGTCAATATACTTGACAGCAAATACAAACTTCACATGTTCATACACTTGCATGGTAAAAAGGTGGTTAAATTTTGACTTAAAACTTTCGTGACTGCAGGAATTAATATTCTTTGGTTATTTCGGAAAAGTCAAGTAGATAGAAAATAATAACACAAATAAAGTGAATATAAGAAAAAAAAACGACTAATGTAGACTGTAGCCTGGTTCTTTACCTCGGTGAGCGCAGAGGCGTAGCTAGGATATTTTGTGCCCAGGGACGAACTATAAATTGGCGCCCCCCCCCCCCCCCCCCGTTTAATCACATTTTCCTATTACATCGAATAAGGAATAACAATTTTAATGAAACATTGTATATAAAGAAGCAAATTCATAGAAATTATATTACATGGCTCACTCAGTCACTGTCGTAGACTGGTTGACATAGTCTACAAAAGATTATTGTTTCTTGATTTCACTGTCGCAAACTGGTCAATCACGTAATCAAAATATGTTTTTTTCCAATGTTTTTCTTTCAACGCTAAGAAGAGCAAGATCGCTGAGACGATCTTGTCCCATTGAAGCACGCAAATACGACAAATAAGTTTCAATTTGCTGAACGACCGCTCACAGCTTGCAATTGAAACTGCTACTGTTAATAAAATTTGCAGTGAAATTCGCAAATTCGGAAATATGTCGTCTCCATAAAACACAATAAAACCAAGAAGATCCAAAGGAGTTTCTGGTAGAACTTAATTCCGGTTACCGAGCAGCATTTTGCAATCTCCAAATTCTGTGAAAAGTTCGTGGCCATTGATGTCGGTGTCATAGAAATTTCCAAAATCTGTGCAATTTCGACGAATTGCATCGACATCTGTGCCAGTTCTCCCGGCATCTTCCGACGTCACCTAATTCTTCTGTCCACATCGATCCCCCAGGCGCTTCTGAACACGATACATTTTTCCAAGAATGACATTCCAGAAATGTAATAAAACTATGAAGTAAAAATTTAATACGCATGCCTGTAACTGTTCTGCATCACTTCTGGTTTCAGGCGTCATAGTTACGTCCTCCGACAATTTGTCTAGCAGCCCTACTAGTTCATCCATTCCTTCATAGAGAGCTTTAACAGCTTCTGATCGTGCACTCCTGCGTGTTTCAGACTCCCGCTTTACTGTGATGGGCACAGCTTTTTTTAACTCTTCCCAATGAATTGTTGAACGAGAGAAAAATATATACTTTCAACTGTTCCAAAAAACGTGACGACAAGTGGATCCTGTTTAGCTGAGTGTACTCCTGCTAAGTTTAAGCTGTGGTTGTCACAGTTGACAAACAATGCTCTGTGATTTTTGTCACATATTCGTTGTTGAAGGCCGGATATATGCCCAGTCATCACAGCAGCATTGTGATAACATTGTGCCCGACAGTCGGCTAGAGGTATGTTGTCAAATTTCAGTATCTCGACGATGACTCTTTCTAGGCTTGCTGCATCTTTTTCATGTATCTCGATATAACCTAAAAAAGATTTTTTGATAGTTACTTTTTTAGTTTGAAAATCCACATCCACAAATCTTATGACCTGAGAAAATGTAATTACATGCAATGTAGGCTGTGTGTGGCGGGATATATAAACTTTTAGGTTGAGGTGTAGATTTGCGCAGTAGTTTCAGGCTGCCGCGCCCGCCGCAATAAGTGATAATGTAACGTTGTAAGCCTCATTTAGGCGCCCCTTTACCTTGGCGCCCGGGGACATATGTACCCCCCTGCCCCCCCCTAGCTACGCCTCTGGGTGAGCGTACTGGCAGTCTATAATGTAGACTGTAGCCTGGTTCTTAACCTCGGTGAGTGTATTGGCAGTCTATAATGTAGACTATTGCCTGTTTTTTGACGAGACCTTTGCAATGGACTAGACCTTGGCGATGGACACTCACAGCTTTGTATGTAAAAAAGTCCAGGCAGCTTCCACATAGTGTTACAGAGCCTAATGAAAGAATGCTGCTAGACTAATTTGAAGTGACACTTTGGATGCCAAATAAGGTCATGAACACATTAACCTGGTATAGGCGCTCCTCCACCACGTGTAGAACGACCTGATTATTCATGGAGAGCTGAGCAGGTGCAGTGTTGTATGACATTAAATTCCCAGGGAGGTATTCTTTGGGTCTTTCGGTAAAGTCACGTCACTTAACCGAAAGACCCAAAGAATATGAATTCCTGCAGTTACGAAAGCTTTAAGTCAAGATTTTCCCAGGAGGTGATCTTTTTGTAGAACATATGCAAGGCCCCATTTCGTCATGGAATTCTCCAGGTATAGAACACGATTCTCCAACTCAATATCATTGAGTAGCCATGACCAGATCATCAAACATGCGTAACATGGTTGACCAGCAGGGGACGATCCCTTGACTAGAACCAGGCATCGATTAGCGTATCATTGTTACTGTATGAAATGCAATTTTGTATAGGGCCATTGTGAGCTTCTCAAAATACATCATTATACTTAAGCATTACCTAAATAATGGGGTTAGGTTAACGGCAACTAAAATAAACATCACAATTGAAATAAGTACTGTACTGTATTCCAAATAAGGAATCATGTGTGCATTAACCACAATACTTGTGGTCAGAAAGCAAACAAAAACACTCTGCTAGAAAATGCATGGTCTGCTGCTGAGGCAGACTGTTGTAAAAGGTTTGAAATGGGTGTAGCCCAAGGGTCATAAGGAAGTGGCCGGGGCTAGTGATGTTAATGTAATAAATTAGCATGTTAATGTGAAATCGAAGAGTGGTGCAATCCAAAGCGTCCTCCCTACAAGACAGAGAAGGAGCGAGGCTCTACCTGGGTAAACAACAACTACCACCACGACAAGTCTTCTTCCAGAGGAGAAGCTCGCGAGAACGGTGAGGGGGGGGGGGGGGGACGAGGGAGCCTCCAGGACCCCGTGAGACAACCCCAGGATGGGTGGCAGGGATACAGACCCGGCATAGGAGATCACAGGCCATGCAACCCAAGTACGTGAGGAGGTAACCCAAGTATGTGGGGAGGTGACCCAAGTACACCTGAATGTGACCAAGCTGTAGTCCACAGCGGAGATAGTCCAGTCCGAGGTGGGAGGGCTGCGCTCCATGGTCGGGGGGCTAACCAGGCGAGTATCTCAATAAGAGGCAGAACTCGAACAAATGCGCACTGGGAGGGTAAGGGGGAGTGGGAAAGGGGCCTCTTATGGAGCCACCGCCCTTCCCCGTGCGTGCTATCTATGCGACCAATGGGGGCATCTCGTGAGAGACAGTCCCCAGATCGCCGCGCGAGAGAAGCACCAGGGTTAAACACAAGGCCTCCCTAAAGAGGGGACCACAGAGAGGTGCAATCCACGTGGTCCCAACACAAATAAACTGTCATGATAATGGTGACGAATGACCCCCACGCAGATATTGACAACAACACCGCAGAATGTGGCGACTGCGGGTGACTGGCTGCGGGAGCTGGTGGCAGGAATAATGGGGCCACGTCGCTCGTGGAAGGGCAGGTGAACAGGCGGCCAAACCCGGATTCTGCTGGACACGTGGGGCGGTAATGTCACTCGTGAGTGCAACACATTGCAGCGTGGTCGGGGTTGAAGTGGGCCGCCGACAGGCCCCGGATCGTGCGCTGCACACTGCAAGTGGAAGTGGGATGGGACTGCTGGGGAGGGTCACCCTTAAGGTCGCCTCGGACACCAGGTGAGTAACCAGGAGTTATACGTGTCGAGCGTGTTATGCCACGAGTGTATTGCTGGTACCGACCTCCTGGAAAAGTTGGGGCTCAGCGTGCAGCCCCGCCGGCGATGCGCCACCGTGGAGGCAGCGGGGAGCAGATTCCTTCTTGGGACAAGAGCCGGGTGCCCCCGCTTCGAGCCCGTGGCCGCTATCCTGGCGTCGGCCGTCACCGTCGGCATTGGTGTTCCATTGGGTTTTCCGTTTTCTCTCCCAAACCTAAACTCAAAATATATTTGGAGGTGGTCAAACAGTCCAATGCAGGACCCTCCTGAAACATAATCTTTAACTGCTAAATAAGAAATTAAATGGAAAACCCTCAAACACAGGTACACTATTTTTATTTTACCAGGTGAGGCCATCTGAGCTGCATAGCTCTTTTTCAGAATCGACCTGGACACAAATGATAGCTCAACTTAGTGGGTTAAAATATGGAAATGTATTGCAGCAAATTCTCAAAATGCATGTTTCTAAATGTGGAGAAAAATCAATGCCACTACAGGGAGAGAGAGAAAAAAAATAAAATGTAAACTGCAATTATAAATGCGTCAGGGTTGGAATCGAACTCACGCACGCAGAGTACGCTCACGGAGTACACTCACACAAATGAGTACACTCGCTCACTCGGATTATTTTTTCTCCGGGTCCTTCGATTTCCCCCCCCATTTAGTAACATGCATTTAGATTATTTGGCTGCTACAATCTTCCACTTGAAAAGCCATTTCGTTGAGCTATCATCTATGGCCAGGTGGCTTCTGACAAAAGATCTAACAGCTCTGTGAGCCTTGGTTGGTAATATAAAAATAGTTGTTCATCGGTCTAAAGGGTGCATCAGCAAAACCAACCCGGCAGAACGCTCCTGAATTAGAGTGCTGAGACTCATTGTGGTCATGTACTCGAGTGTGCACCATGGTGGCTGGGAGATGTTAACTGCCTCTCCTGGAATACAGGAGGTGGTGGGTTCGATCCCGACCCCTCCTGTATGTTTGGAGTTTGCGCGTCTCTCTCCCCGTGGTCGCGTGGATTTTCCTCCGGATCCTCAGGTTTTCCCTCCACATTTAGAGTCAACATCACCACGCGTTTACAGTATTTGACCGACAGACATTTCCACACGTTAAGCCACTTTGTTGTGGGCAGGTCGCTTCTGAAACAAGAGCGGTATAGCAGCTCAAGTGGGCTTGGCCTGGTAGGATAATAAAAAAACGAAATACTTAAAAGAAACAAAGTTTCAGAGTAGTGAGCCAGATGAAGACAAATTTAACTTAAACAGAGAATTAAAGCAAATGCAATCAGGCGAGGGCAGGAGGCAAGGCCCCGCATGGCTAGACCCCGCGTTGTAATGTTCCAACCTGGACATCGATTCCATACTCGCTGCTACTCAATTGATATCCCTCCGAGAGGAGCGAGGCTCTACCTGAGTAAACATCAACAACCACGATGTGAACTTCTCACCTCGGATCTCAGTGAGCGCGCGCGCGGATCGGCTGCTTCCTGGTGTCTCGTGACGTCACGGCAGCAGGTGACATGACGTCACTAGCGGGGGTTCACCTCACCCTCACGCTGATGAGGTATGCAGTGGTGGACCAGTTAGAGAGCGGCCGTTCGAGTTTAAGTTCATTAAGATTCCTATTCATTGATCCACTATTGAACATTGACCCTTTGTGTGCGTGAGCTCAACAACGTGAACATTGTGTGTACAAACTGTGTATACAGTGTGTTTGTGTACAAACTGTGTAAAACAGTGTGTGGGGACGTCCATAAAGTACGTCACGCAACTGGGGAGGGGACGGTCAGACTTGTGACGATGGTGACGATGGGGGAGGGGGGTGATAATGTGACGTCACATCAAAAAGCGGAACTTAAATATCAATAGACAACACGTTCTACTTAATTTAACACGTAGCAGGCTTCCGCGATCAATATTATTCATAATATCGGTTTTTGTGTCAGATCGCGTTATTTATAGCCAATATGTACATGGAGAACTTAGAAACAAGAGCACTTGCTTCGAGTACATTAAAACCATCCTTTTGGTTTAGATATGTTGATGACACTTTGGTTGTCTGGCCACATGGTAAAGATGCACTTAATGATTTTCTAAATCATCTCAATGCACAGTGTACACACACACACCGTGTGTGTGTGGTGTACAACTGTTGGCACAGTAGGGGGCACAGGTGGGTGCATCGGCCAGTCATCTCAGTTGAACCATGGCACCTGAGTCTGCCCTGTGACCTCCTGCTGGCGGGAGTTCGACACTTACCTGGCCTTAACATGCACATAGCCTGGCACCAAGCGCCATGTTGACGTCACCACCACGTATTGGCGAATGGCAGTCGTTGTTTTTGTTAGTGTGTTTGTGTATACAGTGTATGTGCAGACTGTTTGTACGCTGTATATACATTGTGTGTACACAATACGTCTACACTGCATGTGTAATGGGTTCCGGAGATACTTGTAGAGGTGTAGATGTGTAATTGTGTATGGGCATGGATGGCTAACAAACACAAGGGGCGTGGTTTGGGCCGTACACAGAGGAGGTGCTCACACCGACGTCCGCACCTGCATCCCCCATGGGCCCCTCCCGGGGGCCGAGTGCTATAAAGGTGGTGAGCCGGAGGGCTCGAGGTCGAGTATTAGCTTTAACCAGCGAAGAGTGAAGACCAGCTAGAATAGGCCCCGGAGCTCCCCTGGCTCGCTGTCCTTGTCAGGGCCGACCAGGGCAAGCCGGTGGCGTGGCCCCGAGAGCCCAGATTGACGTTCTTATCAGAGCCGGTCTGGAGACTCAGGGTGCCGGGATCCCAGCTTGACCAGGGCTGGGATAGGTAGCCTCCCCTAGCTCCGTAGTGGAGGACTCGGGCGTAGGTTAGCGGGGTTAGATGTTGTGTCTCCCTGTTAGACGAGTGAAGGGGCACGATACCCCTTCAAGTGCTGTGTATTCCCGTTACTGTACACAAGTTGGTGTTAATAAATAAGTGTGCCTCCGACTCCGTCGTCAAAGCCTCCTGAATACTACTACTCTGGGGTCAGAAGTGAACGTTCAACGATGGACACACGAGGGACGACACATACCAGGGAGTCGGAGATGGAGGACACCTCGGCCGAATCGGCACCAGAGATGGCCGAGGTCGGATCGGAGCAGTCCGGGCCGAGTACACCCGCGTCGCTACGACAGGAAGGGAGGGGATGCGTCGGCCGAGGGACTTCGGCTGGCTCACTCCTGCCTGGCGGAGCTGCTCTACGCTGCGGCCGCCACGTTGGAGGAGATCACGCTGGCTGGGGGCTGGAGGGGCTGCGCGGGACGACGACGGCAGCCGACCGCGGCGACATTTCCCGCCACCCCGACGCGGCTCGCGGTTAAATTTCCCGCCATCACTACAGTGGGAGCAGAGGGCGGGCCGGCCCACGTCAGGTGACTGCTGAGAGGCCAAGCACAAGCCGTGACATCATCAACACCGGCCAGCGCGGTCAATAACAGAGCGACCGGCGATGCCATGCTCACAGCCCGCCCACACTGTAACGTCTGCTGGGAACAACGGAGTGCGATCCGCAGCCACAGACGTCGCGTTACAGCAGCGACTGCCGCCTCTCAAAAATTCGTGGGCGCGGACGGGGACTGGGGCGGCTTCAAGAGACGGTTCATCGCTCATCAGGAGATGGCCAACTGGACGGACGCCGAAAGCACTACGCGCGCTGCCGGCGATGCTGGACAACGACGCCCTGCCTACCCTTACCTCGGCGCCTAAGGAAAAGCGCGCCACGCTGCACTTGGCGCTGCAGCTGCTGTCAGCTGTCTACGGCCGCCTTCGGACTGCAGGCAGCTGTTCCACGATCGTCATCGGGGCGCCAACGAATCGCCCCTGGCCTTCCGGACGGCTCTCCTGGCCCTGGCGAAGGCAGCTTTTCCGCGGATGGACGAGGAGGGAGTGGACGCTATGGTGGCTGAAAAGCTGTTGCTCCTCGCGGACGAGCTGGATGTCGCCGTCTTGGCTCAAGACGACACAGAGATGTCTTCCTTGCTGGTCGCGCGCCACATCCACGGAAGGCTTGCGGTCCCTGCGTCGCAAGGCTACCAAGGAGGTGGCCGGCCATGCCATGGCGGCTACCACCCTCCCATCGGAGGAGGTCTGCGGGGTGGAGCAGGCTGGGGGAATGGAGATCGGCGGGACCACAGGCTCGGAACTGGACCGAGCCGCCAGGAGCAGACCCAGGCCATCTGGGGCGCTCACACAGCTGCTACAACTGTGGCCTTCAAGGCCACGTTGCTTCAGGATGCCGGGCTCCCCGTCAGCGCGGGGCGACACCTCGTCAGGACGCCACGCCGTCTCCACCCAAGCTCCAGCAGAGAAATACGGCGAGTCGTGGCACCTCACACGTTTGGCCCATGCACACATCCGACACACACTCACGCGCTGAACCTGAACAGGGCTCGCAAATCGACGGCCGTTGCGTCTGATTGTTCTGAAATGCGGCGAGTGCTCCAACCGGGTCAGTGGTCGGAGCTTGCCCATCGTGTCATTGCAGCGTCGGCAGGATCGTCGGTCGTGGTCGGTCATATTGATGGGGTAGAGGTGCGGATTTTAATTGACACAGGAGCGTCAGCGACCATTATATCTGATTTGATTTATAACATCCTTCCCGTTCAAAGTCGTCCCTTGCTCCCCGTTGACGTGCCATGCTATGCTGCTAATGGGGGCTCGCTAGGCATCATTGGGCAAATCCGCGTCAAAATTTGCATTGGAGACATTAAATTATCCGGCCCTGTTTTGGTTTCCTCCTCACTGGCGGTTCCGTGCCTGTTGGGAACGGATTTCTTGGCCAAAATGCCCATTCGTATCTTGATCGACCAGGGGTGCATCGAGCTCCCGTCGGGCCGACGTGTAACGTTTTTTTCTTCCCCCGCCACGGAGCGTCGGGCGTTTGCGACCGTGCAGGCGCTCGTGGCAAAAACTGTGCGCGTACCCCCGGGGGCTCAGATGCTCGTCCCTCTTAGGTTGCGTCGGCCGTTTGCTGAGGGGGTTGCTGGATCGGGGGGTCTTGTTGGGACCATCTCGGGCCGGGGTCAATGGACCCCGATTTGCTA